CCCCAAAACCCCAAAACCCCAAAACCCCAAAACCCCAAAATCTTACCAAAGTGTTGAAACCTTTGATTGTAAAATATTTGTGAAGGGTTCAGAATAAGTCTAAAATCTATCATAGATATTGCTAACAAAGCTTTATTGCTTTTTTGCCACTAATTCGGTTTGCTTTCAGAACAAGAAATGTTACATCAAGAATTATTTAGGATTAAATATTTCTTTGATAGATAAATCCATCTTCAAAGTTTCCTTAAACATTTCTCTATCAGAGCCTGAGCAGTTACTCTTCGGCTGAGAAAGAGCATGAAAACTGGGATTGTAGACTGGGGAAATATTTCCTTCATTGCTGCTGACACTTCCTTTCTGAGAACTTAGGCCATATATAGGGAATCTATACTGAGCATCTTCTTCATCAGAAGATGGGAAGAACCCAGGATGATCTCTTTGGATATGATCTACCAAGTTCTTTTTATGAAAGTATGCGTTAGTTCATAGTTTTCATACAAATTCTCTAATCTTAAGATGTGCTGTTTTGATATGCACCTTCAAGTTGTACTCCTATATTCTTAAAATTAAAAATAATACACTAGAGAAAGATTTAAAGCATCCAGGCTCTTGACAGTAAAACTGTTGGGGTCTTGCTGGGCTGCCACTTTTAGCTTGATTCACTCTTTGTTCATAATATTCCTTGACAGAACTATCATTAAAGATAGTAGCTGGATCAGACTTCTTGTATTGGTACGAGGGAGAATTAAGCTATAGATTAAGTCAAAACTTCAGGCCCTACCCTGAATGAATTCGGTTTGCTACTGTTTTCATATTTATACGCACTACGCTCAGATTCTGAGCTCGTAAACCTCTTCCTGAATTGCATCATAAAGGCTGAGTTTTCCTTCCTCACCTGATATTTTAAAATTTTCTCATGAAGCTGCTTGTCTTCATAATTCTCTTCTTTGGTTACTTTTTGCTCTTCAACTTTTGGAGGCTCTGGGCTTTTCGGAGCCAAATCAAGGATAATCTTGTTCTTTTCTATCTTCTGTTCATGTTTCTTCAAATGGGAAGGAAACCTTTTGATGGTAATAAACTTATTGCAGTACTTTCATTCCTTTCTGTTAGAATTACCATGGACCTGCTCTACATGTCTTGCTAGTTGCTTTTTATTTCTTAAACCTAAACTTGTTCTGTTGATTTGTAGGAGTGAACATCCTTGCTTCCTCCTCACAGATAGTTCAGATGTGCTTCTCTTCATGGCAAGACTCTATGTGTCTCCTTAAGTGGTAATTATCAATGAAGCCATTGCTGAATCACTCAGGGTAAGGACATTTAAATTTCCTTGCTTCATCGCTATGGACCATATTTTTATGCCGAGTCATATGATCCCTTCTCTTGAAGAACTTATCTCACTGAGGACACTTGAACTTCCTCTAGAGAGATTGTAAACATGTAGGTACCTCTTCGGTGTGGGTTATTTGATGTCTCTCGAAATGAGACTTTTTCTCAAATTCTTTTTGGCACTCTTCACACCTATAATTCATCTTTAGAAGTTAAGTTTATTAATATCCATTTCAAGAGTTTAATTTATTATAGGGGTTTTGGGGTTTTGGGGTTTTGGGGTTTTGGGGTTTTGGGGTTTTGGGG